ATGATGACTGAATTTATTAATGTGCTGGGTGATGTCTAAGAGTGAAGATTCTTAAATTGTAGTTTTTGCTGATTGAAGAAATTCACATAATACCAGTTTGCGCATTTGTTCATATTCATATGTTAATTTGTGCTTTATAAATATTAGACATTATTATTATTATTATTATCATTATATATAGTTTTTGCACTTACCCTTGAAACTTGGAATTTGGTAGCATCTTCAGAAAGCTGAAACAAAAAGACACATGAATATTCACTAGGAGAAAGGTACTGAAGTGATATCAGGAATTAGATTTTATCCATGTGAAGAATTTATTTTGATTTTTTTTTTGTTGATTTGCTGGATAGTTTTTCATCTTTTTTTCTCTCATGATGGTGGTAGGTCTGGTAGGAGTTCTGATGGTAATGAGGATGATGATGATGGTGTTAATGATGATAGTGTTACTGGTAATGATAGTGATGATTATGGTGGTAGTGCTGATTAAGCTGGTGATGATGATGGTGATGGTAATGCTAGTGGTAATGGATTTTAGTGATGTAGATGATAGTGATGGCAGTAGTGATTGTAATGATGATGATGATAATGGTGTTAGTTCTGATGATTGTGACAAGGATGATGTAGGATATTTATTTTTTGTTTATTTATTTATATTTATTTATTTATTAGTTAAATTTATATCCATTAAATAGACTGTACAATGATTTTCGTTACATTTGTAAATATTTACAGCATACACATCATTCTTATAAGTAATATATACAGTATGAGTGGCCGTGTTGTATCAGATATACAACCACGAGGCGTAGCCAAGCGATTGTATATCTGATACAACACGGACACGAATACTGTATATGACTTATCAAACGTCTAGGTTAGTTCCTTTGTGTTTCACTAAAATTTTCAAAATTAAAGTGAATTTAGCCAAGAAAATCCAACTTAAAGTTTATGCAAATGAGCACGGTTTTCTATCAGATTTACAACACTCTTCACAGTCGTGATTTCTGTTGTGTTTTCCTCATGAATTATTCATGAGTTTGATAATATAATATAAGAACATGCCTAATAGGTAAATTACGAGCATTGTATGAAACGACTGAAGAAGAGGGCCAATGGGCCTTTCACAACTTCAAGTCACGTACCTATTACACATGTTCTTATATGATTTCCGAGCCCATCCCCCACGGCTTACCGCCTCATCTCTCTTATAATATAATGATGATGATTGTAGGATATGATTAAACTAAGTGATGATGCCCAGAAGAAAGAAATGATATGCTTTTCCTGATGCAGAATAATGCCTACAATGCACTAGAACTCGTAAACATAGTACCTTTTAGCACTATTTGTATCTCTAAGCCACTATTTTTTCGAAAGATGCACTAACATTGCACTCACCAARTTGACTTTGAACAAGCTGACATGATCGATATCAGAGAACGCAACCCAGGATGAACATGATGCCAGCGCACTACACATGATGTGATTATCTCCCTGTGCAATGATACGGATAAAACATATTAGTCAAATGAAACTGGTGGGTTATCATCAATGCTGCATTCTGATTGGATGAGCTACTGGATCTACATCTACATTTTATAAAGTCTATCAAAGGGGGTACCAATACCAATCACTGATAAACTATAACTAAAATAGATCTATATACAAAATAAATAATAAATAAGTGAATATTAAAATAGAGTGCAAACAATATAACCTTTAGTAATACTAAATAGCACAATTTCATGCAAATTCCATTGTTTTCTATTGTTTAATTAGCACTATTTTGTACTATTTAGTAATTAGTGTTTCACAGATTAATTGTTTTCACTCTATAAAAGTGATAGCAACCAAAATAAAAATAAATGCTAAAATATACGTGAAAAAGAAATTATAGTAGCGAAAAGTGCTGGCTTTGAAACCAAAACATTAAATTTAACTTTTATTGGTTTGCACAATATATTTGACCTATTAGTTGGAATTGACTAAAACGATTAGTACTCTTGCCCTCATGGCCTATTAGTCAATAGTGCACACTTTACCCTACCCCTCTCTCCATCATTGCTCTGTTTTAAGAGTATTCAAAGCTGAAGCTAAACAGATTAGAGAGAAGTCCAAACAGACGTGGAGATCCTGGGGATTGAAGAGCAGACGTCTGAAGGCTGCACACTAACCAACTGAGCTACCTGCTTCTTATATATGGATGGCTTTTGCTACTAATAGTAAATCTTAATTAAAGTTTGTTGATTAGCTTACCTTGGCTTTGATCTGCAGTAACTGAGTTGGCAGTTTCTGTATCACAGTGCTTTCCACATCTTCACAAATAAACAGAAATGAATGTCACAAACATGTTTTTGCAGCCATAAATGGCTGGCTACATATTGTACTTATAATACTTATTTATAAGTAACACCATGCCAGTAAGGGATATTGATTGTTAATAGCCAAAGAGGAGGTTAGTGGACGTCCTGACACCCATAAGCGTTGAAGATTAAGGTCATGGCATATATACCTGTCTCTCCTAGCTTCCAAAATCGTAAAGACCTTTGACATTGATCCATTACAATGTTAGCATCAGATGCGACTGAGATGAAAGATTTCTGGGGGAAAAAATATAGTGTCAAGTGACTATTTAGCTATGTATAATTCAATAGTCCATGGGGCCAAAGGATTTGTATCTGTTTCTGCATTTTTCTACTGTTATAATAATAATAATAATAATAATAATAATAATAATAATTTAATTCTTAAAGTGCTACTCTGACGAAAATCGCTCAAACTTGGATTCAGCTAAAA